AGTGAATGAGAGTGAGACAGGGAGTGAGTGAGAATGAGACAGTGAGAGAGTGAGAGTGTGTCAGTGAATGAGAGTGAGACAGGGAGTGAGTGAGACAGTGAGGGACTGAGACAGTGAGCGAGTGAGACAGTGAGGCAGTGAGTGAGACAGTGAAAGAGTGAGGCAATGAGCAAGTGAATCAGTGAGCGAGTGAGGCAGTGAGTGAGGCAGTGAGCGAGTGAAGCAGTGAGTAAGAGAGGGAGACAGGGAAACAGTGAGTGAGTGAGGAGAGGCAGTGAGTGAGTGAGAGAGGGAGAGAGTGAGACAGTGAGTAAGTGAGGAGAGACAGTGAGCAAGTGAGACAGTGAGAGAGTGAGAGAAACAGTGAGTGAGTGAGAGAGTGAGAGAGTGAGAGAAACAGTGAGAGTCTTTTTTTTTAACAAAATCCATGCATTAAAGCATATGTATTTTATTAAAAAGTTGTAAAAGGGAGAGGGGGAAAAACCACTGAAAATCATTTAAATTCTCATTTTATTATATTTTAAATATTCAGTAACTTTCATTGCCATTGATTCCACTCTGACTGACTGCAACCCTATAAGATAGAGTACAACTGCCCTTTTTGGTATATGAAGCTGTACATATTTACTGAAGCACAGAGCCTCATCTTTCTCCCTTGGAGTAGCTAGTAGGTTTGAACTGCTGACCTTGTGGTTGGCAGCCCAAATCATTAGCGCTCCTTGTTTTAAATACTCACAGCTATGGAGTCCATTGCAACTCATCGTGATCCTCTAATAATCTGACTTGTGGGGTCGTTATGATTTTTAAACACAGTTCTTAAAATTTTAATCTGTTTTCCTAAGCAATTAAACAACAACAATTAGATGAGGGCCGGCGTATTAACTAACAATATCATGATGAAATGTTTTGTGAAGTACTGTGAACTAAGACATGGTAACATATAAAGAAAGGATCATACTTATCACTCCCTTTAGCTATAAAACATGCTACTGTGGATAGCAAGTTTTGATCATTATAATCAGTATGGCCAGAAAATACTTTAAAGTGTAGTCATCCTTCCAACACTGAAACGACAAATTCTACAATCTTCAGTTTTCAACTGCATACTTAAACCATTTTAATCAGTAAGTATGGTAGTTGGAATCATTTTTGGTTGAGAGAAAAAGCCCTGGTCACCTGCCTTTCTCAAGATGACAGCCTAGGGACCCTCTGTGTCTTACAGGATTGCTTGTGTCAGAGGTGATTTTCATTCTGCAAGTTTATAGCAGCCCCAGAGTCATCTCCAGGCTGCGCACAAGGATAGTCTGTTCTTTGGTAACTAAGTTCACAACTTAAAACAGTGTGTTCAACTTCTTGGAACTCACTCTAGGCACCTGGTGGTACAGTGGGTTAAGCAAGGGCTGCTGATCAGAAAAAGTCTGCAATTCAAACCCACCGTCCACTCCTCCAGAGAAAGACGAGGTAGCTTACATCTGTAATGCTTTACAGCCTCCGAGACCCTAGGCACCACGTCTACTGTGTCCTACAGGATCTTACAGGGTTGCTATGAGTCAGAATCATCTAGATGGCAGTGGGCTTGGTTTAAAAAAAAATGTATTTAGGGCAAGAATGAGTCTAAACCAACAAAAGCCTACTGCTATCAAGAGACCCTATAGAACCCATAGGGTTTCCAAGGTTAATTTTAACCATTAAAATTGGTGTTCTTTTAATAAATTGTAAAGTTTTTTAAATAAAAACGATTTAAAATATAACACCTTCTAATAATGTGCTCAACTATAAGGGTCCTCTTTTACACAAAACAAGCTGTTCCAGAAGAAGTAGAGAGCATAGGGAATTGCAGTCGTCTATTTGCTGACCCATTTCTCCCATTAGAGTGAATTTTTTGCTATCTTTTATTTCTATTCCCAAATGCTTCCACTGTCTCCCAGTGGCTCTCGGTGTTGAACGTTTAATCATATCAGAGATTTCTGTTAGACGTGCAGTCGCTCATAACTGTCACACGAGTAGCTGTCGATAGAACTACAGAAAGATCCTTCAAACCCACATGGTCTGCCATTCCCGTGTTTTCCCCAGTAGCTCTCGGACTGGTTCAACATGACTACAGAGTACAGCTTGCACACAGTACAATAGGAGCAAGGCTACCAAATTACCACGCAATATACCTATCATGTTTTCAGTGGCCAGAGTCCAAAAATCTAAAGTGGAGGCTAACGTGGCTTTCTTTTCGCAGGAACCCTGATCCCGGTTTGACTTGTTATGGGAAAGATGGATAAAACTGGCACTTCCCGCCAAGACTGGTTGCAACAGGCGGCCGGGGATGGCGTGCTCGGTTACACCCAAGATCAAGAGACAAAGAAACCGTAGCCTCCGGATTAAGCAGCAAAGCGGAAACCCGGTGCTCTGGCTCATTCTTCTGCCCGAAGCAGCAGACAGCAGGGTGTCGTGACGCGGCCTCCGCCACACGGTGACCCGAAGGT